ATATCAATCCAGCTATGTTTCCATCTAGCTAGCTCAATATCTCTATCATCTATCACCTTTTTATCTCTCATCTTTATCAATCTATCCATCTATCTCTCTATCTCTCTCTATCTATCCATCAATCCATGTATATATGTTTGTATATAAGCATATATGCATGTGAAAACATACCCATGTTTAATGGAGAGATTTGTGATGTACCGCCTATCATTCATTTCTTACTACATAGATTTATTCCTAGTTTCAAGATCCAAATGAAATTCAACCTACAGGCAGTCTTCAGAGTCACAGGTTAGGAGTTCAAATCCTAACTTTGACTTACTATCTTTGAGAATTTTGGAATATTCTTTAACCTATGGATTACTCTTAAGTTAACTTTTGGGAGTCTCAGTTTCCTTCTCTTCAATATAAAGGGGTTAGATTAAATCATCTTCAATGTGCTTTTGACATTTAAATCTTTGATACATGACTTAGGTTAAAAAGGTAGTCCGAGATGAATGGTGTTATAGAATAACTAGGTCTCATAAAAAATACAGTCAGTCATCTGACAAAGTGGTCCAAATAATTTATTATAAAACCCCTAACATTTCTCTCACTACAGATGAGTTCTACCCTTAGAGGAACTTTTTTTAAGTAACCAAAAATACATCTATCTTCTAAATCAATAAATATGAATTAATATCTTGTGGGTGATATGTCTTTGTACATAATGCCAATATCAGTTTCCTAATTTCTAAAATGGGGATGAAACTACATCAAATATTACTCTCAAAGCTAGAAAGGAAACATGTTCCAAAAACCTGAAGGCCCACAGTAGTGGGTACAGCTGTTTTCATTCACTTTTAGCTGGCTATTTTTACTGCCTTCATTTTATTTTAGATCATTATATATTATAAAGTAGCATCTTCTCAAAAATTTAATGTGCTATTGAGCTAAAGGCTCAAAATAGGAAGGACAGCTCATCTGTTGGGTAGAGCATAGTTCCTTAACACCTACAGGTGGGAAGATCTTGAAGAGAACACTGAAGTTTAGTGAAATACTTTTTTTTTTTGGCTGACCTCCACCTTATTCTGGTGTTCCAAGATACTTTAAGCATTTTCAGTAACTGCTCTGAAATGATGTCAACAACTCCCTTTAAAATTACTCAGCATAAATCAAAAAGCAATAACTGAAATGAATAGTGTGTCATATGGCTTACAAAGTACTTTAACCACAATAACCCAGTGTCTCTTGAACAGGGTGATCTTGGGTAAGTCACCTGCATCTCTGTGGGTATCATTTTCATCATCTATAAGATGATGGGATAAGATCAGACAGTTTCTACAGCACTTTCTAGCTCCAAAACAAGAATGATCTTAACACTGTAGGAACTGCATGTTTTCCCACCTCCATTTTCCTGCTGATGAAACTGAGGTTCAAAGATATTTAGTGACTTGCCCACAATCACAAAGGCATGAAAGGCAAACCTAGACTTGAACACAGGTCCATAAAGCATTTAATCCACAAGCAATGATTTAGTACCTGTTGTATGCTAATCAAGGGGGATACAACTACAGAAAATGAAATAACCCCTGTTCTTAAAGAAATTATGTTCTATTTTGTTATTGTTGTATGAGTATAGATAAAAAAAACAAAAGGAATAAATACAAAGTAGTGAAATTAAGCGAGTTCATATATGTAAAATGCTTTGCACATGTTTAAGCACTGTGTAAATGCAAACTATTACTATAATTAATGAAGTTGGGAAAGGATGGCTCAAACAGTTGGGAGAATGAGGAAAGATCTGACTGACTCATTGCTTAATACTCTTTCCACTATATCAGGGTTTCTCAATCTTTCTTGGGTCATGGACCTTTTCGGCAAGCTGATGAAGTACTTCTGAAAACACATATTTTTAATGCATAAAATAAATTACACAGGATTACAAGCAAAACCAAATATATTAAAATGCAGTAATTAAAATATTAAAATAAAACAAGTTAATGGACCCTAGGTTAAAAACAAAACAAAACACCTTCATCCTGTGCTTTTAATGACCAAAATATTCAGATAAGTACACTATTCTTTATGAAGTAAGAATAAACCACAGAAATTTGGAAATAGGTTCAGCCTAAACTCTGGGTTTCTTTATTTAGGCTCCAACAGTTTAGGGACTGGAAGTGCATGTGTGTGTGTATCTCTGTGTGTGTGTGTGTGTGTGTGTGTGTGTTTCCTTGGTTGGATCTTTAGTAGCATGATCAACGGGAAGAACAGTGCAGTACATAGTGTTGAATATGATGATGAAGATACTGTCCTCCAAGTCCTCCCAGCGACGTGTGCTAGTGAATGGACTAGGAAAAGTCACTAAGTCTCAATTTCCTTGTCTTTAAAATGAGTTCACAGAACTACAAAATCTCAGAGTGAGAAAGGATCTCAAACGCCAACTAGATAAGCCTATGTCTCAACGAGAATTCCTTTTATATCATCCATGAAAATTGGTAATCTAGCCTTTCATGGTGGAACTTTAATGAGGAAGAACCCATTAACTCTTGGACTCCATACTCCATGTTAAGATATACCTGAGCATGGATTTACAAGTGAAAGACCTTTGAGGTCATAGAGGCAAACTAGTTTGTTTTACAAATAAAAAAAGTTGAGACCAGAGAGGGAAAGGGACTTGTCCAGGATCACACAGAGGATAAATGCTTACAACATGATTTAGTCCCTTGAGTCTTCAGATCCCATATCCCACTATGTAGCATTGATCTAATTTCATGAGATACCATCCCCACCCTTACATCAAGTCTAATTTTGCCTCTGTAGTCCATAACAAGGTTAAAAACATAATATTGCAATCTATACTAAAGAGTAAGTATCTGTAGTCTGTGGGATGGAGTAGTCTGTGCTTGGGTCAACTGATTATGGGGGCGGTGGCTGGGGAATGTAATTACTATAAGGGCAGAGCCTTACACTTTTTATATTGTCAGTGCCTAGCACAGCATCTGGTGAATAATACATGCTTAAAAATATTTGTTTGTTGGTGTACTTATGGTGCAAATTCCACCTAAAACCAAAATTTTTATTGTATACTTCACAGCTCAGAGGAATATTGGGTGGCTCATAATACATATACACATGTATCTCTATATGCTTTTCAATGTCTAATGTTCCGTCCACTTTTATTAATAAGATAATATATCTAAAGTGCTTTGTAAAACCCTGAGAAATATAGGAATGTTAGCCATTTTGTGCACTAATATTATATATATTTTTTCATACTGAGTTGCCTAATACAATATTATATTTCATAAATATTATTGAATAATTCTAAGCAATATCTAATCAATAACTAATAGAAGCCAAAGCTTTGGGGCTGGTGTTTGTTTCTATAAACAAATATGTGATAAAGAATATCATAAACTCTATACTACAATTTCCCAGATGACTGCCTCCCTTGCTGACACCTGGGTGACCCTTAAGGGAAGTGGATTATATAATTATCCCAACCAGTGATCGAAGTCAGATGGCTCCCTACAAAGTCAAGATTAAACTCTACATTTTATAAAAGATCAAATGGATCCCAAGTGAAAGTCCCTCCTGGGAAATGAGGATGGGGGCTAATGCCCCTCCTTGGCCCAATGAGCCAGCTGCTGAGGAAGCAGGGGACTGTGTGTGTTGCCCCCTATTTCTCATTCACCTGAACTCTTGTTTCAGAGGACAGTGACTCCCCAGCCCAGGGGATTGAGTTGCTGTAACCTGACCACTCACACACACATAGATAAATGAATTGAATAACACTTTGTTATAAGTAAACCACACTGGGGAGGGGGAGAGGTCAAGCTATGATCCAAGAGTAAACTTGCCAGGAAAACATGGATTCAGGTATGTCTTTCCTCAGAAAACATGAGACAGAGGGAATTTCATGCCTAAAACATGCCACCAACTGGTAAATTATTTGCCCTCCTGATGGTCAGGGACATATCAACTCCACCCCCAACATATTTAGTTACGAGATCTGACAATTAGATCCATTTCTGTGATGTTTCAGAGTATGGGCTCTGAGTTAACCTTACACAAGACGGTCATACTATCCTCTGGTTAACAATGGCACTCTGAAACCAGCCTGCAACTCTATTAAATTTATGACCATCTGTTTGCACAGGAGACACACTTGGAGACTACCAACAGGCTGGTGTTCGAACTTGTTACTCTTTTCCCCTGTGCGTGACAGCCAGCTGCCCGAGGTGTAGGCTTTCTATTAAAACCAGCTACTAAAAGAGGGGTCTTAGCCTCTAGCAGGATCACAATGAGGGTGAACTTTGCCAAGGTCTAGCGTCCTGTTGACCCTCTCTTCTGGACCCTGCCATTTACAGGGGCAGTGAAAGGTTCCCACCTCCACAAAGGCACAAACAAATAAGGAAATGTAACTGCCTGTTTAAAACAGAGGAAACCACTCCAGGTCAGATATCAACTCAAGCCTCTAAAAATGTCAAAATGGGGAGGGGGAGAGGTTCAAGTGATGCCAATCCAGTTTTCTTTCTCTGCTCTCCTTAAATGCCCCCACACATTAAAACAAACCTCACAGATCAATTCTTATTTCCTTTGCTTCGTTGAGAGTGGGGGGGTGGGGGTGGGTGTTAGTGCTAGGAATAGGTGGTGATTAAGAAGTAGAAATTAAGAATGACAAAAAAAAAAGCAGTTATAATTCAATATCGTGGTTCTCCTTGCATTAGCCTCATGATACCACACAAGAGAGTACAGAAGTTGATGTGAGAGACCCAGAATTCTGCATCTCACCTCCCACCCACCCCCACCACACACACACACACACACACACACACACATGCACGCACGCACACACACACGTACACACACACACACCTGACTACCGGTTCTCTCCACAAACTTCCCAGAAGGAACTGTCCTCTGGAAGCTATACGCTCCCCTAGAACAGAGAATTAACTTTCCGGGGAGTTTCTCCTGCCTTGCTATTATTTGGGGGTAAGGGATGGAGAACTTACTTGTCAGCTTAAAGTTTCCTGCTCGGCCCATGTAAGGTTATGCAGCAAGTTTTCCTGCCAAGCCTGATTACTGAACATCCTTTTCATAGCAACGATTGTTCACATTCTTGGTCCAAGGCGATCCTTTGACAGGTGAGACTCATTCTTGTCTCTGGGAGGCACCGAGAATCAGGCTCTCACCGTCTAAAACCAGACTCAGAATTTGTGTAAAAAATGAATGCATATCCCTTTGCATCTTAGCCCAGAAAGCATGCCATCCTCCTCCACGCTGTGCATTGCTTTCCAACGGCTCCAGCTTTCCTGAGCAGCTTGCTCGGTGCTGCTAGCAGGAATGTGCCTGCCCTCTATCTGTAGCTATTAGCTCAGCACGCTTCCTTCCCTGGCACTGCAGCCAGAGCAAATTAGCCACTGTACTCTCCCGGCAAATACTGGAGAGAGCTGAGTGTGCTCACTGAGCTAAGGAATCCAACCACTTACTGGTGAGCAGTGGCCATCAATTAGCAGAGATGCCCAGGTGGTTGGCTTTGATGGGCTCTGCCCAGTCGGGCTTGCCCGGTCACACTTTTTTGCCTTTCTCCAACTCATCAGGGCTATACAAGTTCAGGTGCTTATGTTCACGGGGATGGTTATTTGACAGGTTGGAATAATCTCTTCTAAGCTCCCTCTCACCACAAATACGCTACCTAGTTAGAGCTGTCAGCCCCTATAAAGCCATCGACATCTGTCAGGGAGAGAAGGAAAACAGAACAACAATAACAAAAACAAAAAAGCCCACAAAACTTGACACACCACAGTGAAAAATAGTTTTGTTTGGTTTCTTAATTCTTCACATTTTATTTTTTTTTTGGTCATGTAAAAAAAATAAAGCATCTGTAAGGGATTATGGGTTGTGTAACTCTAAGGAATGGGGAGGGGTGGGGGGCAAATCCTGTAATGCTTTAGAAACCCAGATGATGAACAGATCGAAATATTCAACCCTAGTCTTTTTCTCAAACTCCAGGCTCAGATCATCAATTGACTGTCAGTCATTTTGAATTAGATGCTCTATAGACATCTCAAATTCAACTTGTCTAAAATCTAATTCATTATCTGTCCCTCCCTACAACCTTTCTTCTGAATCCTTTGTTATTCTTATGAGGGAGTCGCGAAGGTTCTCCTGTTAATAGACACAGCATAGACATGCCACAGTGTAGTTCACAGGATGATCAAATTAGAGCTTTAATGCTAGAAGGGACTGCCCAAACATTCCTATAGTCCTGTTTTGCTTTGTTTGTTTGTTTGTTTTCCAAATGATGAAACAGAGGCAAAGAAAAGTAATGTGACTTGCTCAGGATGATACAAGTAAAAAGTAGTAGAGAAGAATTTGAATTCACATTCTGAGATGCTAAGCACATTTTTCACTGAATCATGCTGCTTTAAACCCCAAATATTTGCATTGCTACAGAAGGTACTATTCTTTTTTCGAGATGGACTCAGTGGTAAACCAATTGGGGCACCCTGTAAAAAGAATGAGACTTGGGAGTGGGAAGAATGGGGTTCAAATCCCAGCTCTCCTACTTTTAAGCTGAGTGACCTCATTTCATCTTCCTTAGCCTCTCTACCCCAAAGGTCAATGAGAGAGGCAGACTCAAGGTTCTCTAATATCTCTCCTACCTCTAAAGGTACTATCCTTTGACATGACATCAGATGTCAGCTGGGGTTTTGTCCAAGTCTCAGAAGGTCAAAAGGTAGAAAGGGCAGGTCATCTTAGGTCATATAATGGCAGCCAAGGAAGCAGCAGAGTCCATCCTAAACTGGCCATATTCAAGTAGCATTGGCCTGAACCCTAGGAGGAGGGTACTTTCATTCCAGGCAAGGTTAACCATTCACAAAAAACCTAACCTAAACTAAAATAGAATAAACCAAAAACAAGTTTAGAGATAGAAAAACAAGTAAGCAAATGAGAGAGTAAATGAACAAAAAAGCTTTGTCTTTTCAGAAATGATCTAGAATTTATGTGTGTGTGTCTGTGTGTGTGTGTGTGTGTGTGTGTGTGTGTGTGTGTTTGCTCAAGCAAGCACAGACAAGTCAAATCAGATCAAGCCAATCTAATATAACGGTGCTAAGTACCTGGTTTTCAATGCACTGGGCTGCTGCTGCTGCTGCTGCTGCTGCTGCTGCTGCTGCTGCTGCTACTGCTGGAAATGAGGACAAATGAGGAACAGCCATTGTCCTCAAGAAACTTACATTCCCCTGAGTTGGAGAACGTGGAAACAATGACATGTGTGCCTGATCATTTGAGATGCCAGAAAGAAGGAACTCGGTGATAAGGAGCGGAACCAGAAGCCAGTGACTGGTACTTACAAGATGCTTCATAGACGCTGCCCAGTGTCTGATTCCAGAGGAGTGCCAACCCGAAAAGAAGGCTGTCAAACAGCTTGCCTCTCTCCTCCCTGGTTCCATTCTTTATGTGAGAGGTTCACACTTGGTTTGCAGCTTTTTGATTCACCACCTTCTAGTGAAGTCTTTCCCACCCAAACCCCTGCTGCTAGCTCCCTCCTCCCTCCTACTTTGTCTTCATTTTGAATAGACTTGTCTATACTCGTGTGTACGAATTTTGTCTCCCAGTAAAATAGAAGCTTCTTGAGGAGAGGGATAGATTCACTTTTTGCTTTCTATCCCTAAAATTTAGCTCAATTCCTGACAGACATGGGTGTTTAATATACACTCATTAATTGGTTGATTATTTTTACTTATCTATGGGCATACCTCATCCTACAGCAGAAGTCTAAGTTCCTTGAGAAGAGAGGTTGGTTTATTTTTAGGGCATTTTTGTTTTTGTTTTTTATCTGTGAACAGGGCCTTACACATAGTAGGTGCTTAGCTGTTGAATGAATTGGCTACCTTGTTAAAGTTATTGGTATAGACACCATAAGTTGTAAGGGCAAGATTCCTGGGCAAGTTACCCGACCCTTCTCTGCCTCAGTTTCCTCTTTTATAAAACATAGATGACAATAATAGCACCTGCTTCACAGAGTTGCTGGGAGGATCGAATGAGATATTTGGAGGTTGCTTAGCATGGTAACTGACACACAACAGCTGCTGTTCCACATAACGAAGACATGTTAAAATATTGCCTGAAGGGGAAGGTAGCATCTTGTAGGAGGTACTGTGGTATTGATTTGGTTTCACCTCCATTGGAATGTGAGCTCCTTGAAGGCAGGGGCCATAATTTCTTTTTTAATTTCTTTATGTCCAGAGTGCTTAGGACAGTTCCTGGAAGGCAGCAAACCTTTGATACATGTTTGTTGACCAATTGGCTGACTTACTGACTGATTGAATTGAGGTCCAATCTAGGCATACCTTTATATAACACCTGTTTTCTCCCAAGCAGGGTGCCAGGTTGTCGGAATATTAAGATGAAAAGAGAATAGGCCCTGCACTCCAAAAGTTCTCCTGGACCTTAGTCTTTAGAGAAGGCAGATGTAGGCTACGTGTAATCTAGTCCAACCCACTCATTTTGTAAATAAAGAAGCTGAGGCCAAGGAAGGCCCAAAAGCTTTTCAAGATCATCCCAGGAGGGAAGAAGCTAGATACATGCTAGGAGGGAGAATCCAAATCCTTTGTCTCCATATCCATGATTCTTCCCATTATACCACCAGCCTTCGGCATGAACCAGGTCAGGGGGAAAAAAGAGAGGGAAAAGGAGAGGAAGAGAAAACTCATGACATCTGGTAGATGAAGCCGGGAACATGGGCAGGGAGAGGAAATGAAGAGCTTGTTCCAACTAAATCCTTCAGCTGAGCCCTTTGTTAAATTCTGAGCATTGACGCTTCTCTGAGTGTAGCAGGTGTAGACGGATGTTTTTGTCACTGCTGCTGCTGTTTTTGTTGTTTTTTCCCCATGTATTAGCAGAGTTGTCCACCTTGGGCAGCCAGTTTTGTTTCTGTTTTCAGGAAGCTCACTGATTCCTATTGAGTCTTTGATCAAAAGGACTATGTAAAAACTGCCAAGGTGAAAACGTGTATTTCCCCAGGCACCTTAAAAAATTCTGAGAGTGGTCCTGCTCGCTTCTGCCTGTCCTTACATACATAAATGCACACGCAAACATGCACACAAATTCAGTGACTCCTCATGTACATTAATAGTTGCCTCTACAGAAAAAGGACAGAAACTCTGACCACTTTTCATCTCCTAGATTTGTCTGAAAACAGTCAAATTTGCATTCAACTCCTAGATTGGCCCACCCTTCCTTCCTTCCTTCCTTCCTTCCTTCCTTCCTTCCTTCCTTCCTTCCTTCCTTCCTTCCTTCCTTCCTTCCTTCCTTCTTTCCTTCCTTCCTTTTCTTTCTTTCTTTATTAGTTACTTAAATATATAAATTTCCCAAACAAACCAGAGAAGGAATGAGGGGAATGGAGGTGGAAAGGAAGATAAAGGGAGGGGAAAGTTGTGAAGGAAAAGGAAAGGGTGTGAGGGTGGGGTAAATAGAGAGAGACGCACATAGAAAGAGACAGAGACAGAAAGGGGGAGAAAATGAGAGAAATTCTTTCTCCTCTTTCTTCCTGTTTTCTGAGAAATCCATCAGGGAGCATTCCTTTGTCTGACACTATGCTGAAAGTTGGAGATAGGGATAGAAATCGACCTGTGATTTCACTTGTAACTAGAACTCCCTGGATCAATGCCAATCTATTTCTGCTCTGCATCTTACATGGATGACAAGAGCACTAACATGTTAAGTGACTTGTCCCCAGTTGCACAGCCAGACTATGGCAGAGTATGAATTTGAATTCAGGTCTTCCTGGCTCTTGGAAAGTGTCTCTATCAACCAGCTTTCATGAGTGCTCCCCAGTACTGGAGGGAAAGAGCTCAGAGTTTGGAATAGGAGCTAGTCTGCAAGGTTTTAGGGCTAATGAGGGCCAAGGAAACTTTTTTCAAAAATATATAGATTAATAAATGTTATTCAATATAACTGGTTTCCTTTGTAATTATCTGCATTTAATATTATGGATTTAAACGCACTATTATAAGAAGAGCTCTCTGGGTTTCACTAGACTATCAGGGAGATCCATGATAGAAAACAAACCAATAAAGGAGAATCTCTGAACTAGGCATGAGTCAAACTGGTCTTGGACATGTGCATCATTTTCATGACTTTTTTATGGCAACCTGTAATTCAATGATGGTTTAAAGAGTGATGGGTTCAATCAAAGAGACAGTATGGTCCAGTGGAAAGCCTGCTGCATTTAGCTTTCAAGGAGGTGGGCTCCAATTCAGGCATATATAATATTTAGCTAGCTAGAAACCACCTCAGA